TTTGAAATCGGACGACTCAGGTTTTCGATTTGTAATAAACATGATTCATTGTTACGAAAATGATTTGTCAGGCTGTTAGAGCAAGGCACGGTGTTGTTTTGTACTGGCTACATTTCAGCACCTCATGCAGTTATCCCTACCTCAGTACTAATAACACGTCGTTGACAAGGCTCGTTATATGCGCACCTCACAATCCCTGCCTCTCCTTTCCTCCTGCCTCCCGTGTACGGCTTTCGTGGCTAATTAATCGCCATCCAAATCCGACATCGTGATTCCAAGCGTGAAGCTGTCGATGCGTGTCCCCCCACCGCGACAACACGACACGAGCCCCTCCCCTTTTTCCCTCGCTCGCCTACCCTCTCTACTGAATAGAAATGATCACAATGATGATGACTTGCAACAACCTCATTACTGCTGCGTTCGGAGGATGGGAACGCCCGTGTGCTATATGCATCCCACCGACCTCACGGCTTATGCGGCGGTGAAGGTGGGTAAATTCGTACCAGGAGTAGATAATAGGGAATTTCCTAGGGAATTTGGGTAGATAATAGGGAATTTCCCTATGTTCTACTTCTGATTCATACCGATCTGTAACTGGCAGCTTGCCAATTCCCGCGCGGGTTACCTCAAACGCCTAGAATCCATTGGCGTGCGGGCGATCCAGCGCCTGTATATGTATTCAGTACCAGCATATATACCCCGTTACAATGCGCACGTCATACTAATTATTATGAATTGTATAATTTCAACATTTTTAAGTTCATTATTTTCTTCGTTGAATGGACGAATGTACGAAATCGACTTTATATCGCATTAGTGTTGGCGTGTCCGTTCAACTATGTGTATATTGCGCATAGAAGATGGTATCGCACTCATATTTTGCCGTTCTTTTCGAGAAATTATTTTCTATTGGCGCGAGCTTTGTGTTCTAAATCCCATGTTAAAAAAAGTTATAACGTATAATTATCTCGGTAATAGATTTTCTTATGATAGATTTATATTAATTCATGATTAAATTCATGTCTCAAATGGTTAATTAACGATTTCCAACTAGCATGTAGTCATGTACTATTCCATTCGATTATTTTCAGGTATTACCCTTTTAAAAAATGTAAAAACTTGCACTGCATATATCTAATCTAATGATATATTTACGGATTTTTTTCACGGACACAACGGTAGGCCTATTTTGTTTTTAGTTTATTTTTCTGATGCCAAACAGCATAACACTATTAGATTTCTTTATAGGGGTTCTTTCACCAATTACGCTACTAAAGTTGATGTTCACGTACAACGTTTAGTAGAATATATATGATTACGCATTAGTACATAAATAGGTTACTATATATGTATATTATGTATATGTTATATATATCTATATATATTATAGTTCGCCATAAGCAACATAATATTAATATCACTCGAGTGTACAGCATTTCTCAACATAAACTTCCACTGACTTTATATATCTCTACTGGGACAGTATTTCTACTTCGTAATCTAGCAAGCATTTCCTGATCCCGCTGCTCCTAGTATAATTACAAAGATGCAGAGATAAATTTCTTACGCAGTCTCATTATGCAGCTCATCAATATGTAATTACGATGCCATATATAGATACCACGAGCTTACACGTGGGCCTTTCAGTTATTGTAATTACGTTCATCGTCAGATCGAAATTGTGTCTAACTGCTGACTGAAGCAGACCGCGGTATATACTCGTTACGTAAAGTTGTGACTCAGTATATACTTGGCTAAACGGTCGTCATAAACGTGAATAGCTGATCCGTACGTAAGAGCTCACAGCGTGTAAATAATTCACGCGCGAATGTATATCTATATAATATCTACACACATTTTAGATAGGTATGGAATTTTTTCAAATACTGCCAGGAGTACGTATATTCCTGATATTATAGCTACATGTTTCCGTTGAGCTTGAAGCTAGAATCCTGCCGGCGGAAATGTTTTGTAATACATTCTGTCATAGGTTTATAATTCGGCTAGTAAAAACGCACAACATTGAACTTTTCTTGTTGATGGAAGGGAGGTGCACTTGAGATAGCGCTGAGAAGGGTTAGAAACCTCGACAGCCAAACCAGACCTACGGAACCGACGCGAGATTATGTTACTTAAATTACTGCCAAAGGAAACACTGAGCCTCCAGAAGCTGTTAGCAGAAGAGGCTGAATACGTGAACACTTTTGAAAGGCTGTTTAGCAGCTCTTCCCATTTTCTCTCAACAAGAAAGTACTATTTCCTATGGCAACAGCTGTTTTTAGATGAAACAAAGAACAGAGTGTTACGGCACAAGTAATCTCTTACAATGCATGTACAAAGTGTACGCTTTGGCAAGGATATGCGTGCCTGATAATATCTGTTAATTTCCACCTAATTCACAACACCAGAAGATTATCACAACATAAAGTTTATCATAACCCAATGGGAAAAACCATGAGCAACAATAAAATAACCCACATACTACAGCGCTAATATTTCAGAAGTCACATACTTCACAGGCTACATTCTCTTCTAGATACGCGTCTTCATCTTTCCCGTGCAAAATTTGTTGCGCAGGTCTATTTGTTTCAAAACCATCACCGAAGCCAACAACGACAGTCTATACCTAAATTCAAAACCAAATTAAAATTAACTAGTTAAAACTCTAAACTAACACGATTCATCCAACCGTTGAGCTAAATGTTTTATAATTAGCCACAGCGTGACGCTGTAGGTAATTAAAAAGAGTAAAACAGGCAGGATGCGGGTAGTTGCTATAGACATATAGTTGCCATAGTTACAATAATCGCCTCTTCTTCGTGTCTATTGGCCTGCAATTCTCCGAGCAATTCAACGATCTTATTCAAAACAATGCTAACCGCGGCTTCCTTTTGAGGACAATGTCGGCTGATTATGATAATGTTCTCGCAGTGTTGGCAACTCTTGCCTGATGAAAAATTCCGCTGTTGCTACACCCTGTCGGTTCTCGTAACAGTTATCTGTGGAGACATGTTGCAGCGCAAGGTCGCTGATTTGATTGAACTGCCACGCAGATGGATGAGTCATTCGAGATTTGCACGGAAATGCCAGTGGGTGATGGTTTCACACCCGATATCGCACAGACAAAAAATTAGGTATTGGAGAAAGATGGATGTATCTGGAAGATAATACGACATTTAAACGAATTCAACGATCCATATAGAACTATGGCAGTATTTCACCACTGAGTTCGCGTGATTTTATTACACTTTACACATTCACAATTCTAAAGCACGACTAACCTCTGATGACACTTGAACCTAAATCCTGAAACTACACTTCTTAGTGGCGGAAACTGTATACACCCTAACGTCTTTCGCGTACAATTTAAGCATCGGTAAGCTATCATAAATACTACCCGCTACCCGCCTCCGCAGTCAACCAATATAATTTCTGTGTGTGGGGGCGTGCGTGCGTGCGTGCGTGCGTGCGTGCGTACGTGTGTGTGTGTGCGTGTGTGCTTGCGTGCGTGCGTGCGTGCGTGCGTGCGTGCGTGCGTACATGCGCGCGTGCTTGCGTACGTGCGTGCGTGCGTGCGTGCGTGCATGCGTGTGACTATGTACGGAGTGTCGGGCGACGTAGCACGGCCAGTACGCGGGTAAACTGTTACCTCGTCACCAAATTAACTGCAGTAACTGCTGCGCTGTGAATCTGTAAAGGACAATCAATATCTGTCCTCGCACACACACGGCTGCGGCAGCGGTCATCGAGACATGGCCAGCACAGCTAGCACGTAAAACGACGAATGCAAAGCTGCTTGCTACACTCTCCCAGTTCGATACTCCCGTTTCGAAGCAATCTGTCGTTATTTTGTCGCTTATTCGCAGCGAGGATAAGCGATGCATCGCATCACAAGTAAATAATATCTACCTATTATCTACTTCTGATCGCATGGATATATTAGCCTTTGCTTATATGATTGATGACGGAGGAATATGTACATTTGATTGAGTATCGCAGCAAGCTTCTTGGATGCATTGCGGGTGTTATTTATATGTATATATGGAAATGCTGCTACCAGCGCGCATGCAGCGTTCATGATTTCGTAATTAAGATGTAAAAAATAAGGTTGCATAAAAACAAGTCTAATTTTATCACACAGAGACGAGCGCACGCGCGTGCACGTACGAACGCACGCGCGCACACACACACACACACACACTCACACACACACACATCACACACTGGCCCACAACACATCAACACACACAGCTGAGCGTCCGCGCGCAGCACACAGTACACACACGCGCGCAAGCAGCAGCACAACACAGCACATATATATATATATATATATATATATAATATAATATATATATTGTTATATATATATATGAGCAAATTATATTTGCATACTGCTGGTGAGGATACAGGTAGTGATAAAACTAGTAAAATGATAAACGTAGAATGACTTAAATATATCTTAACATATAACTCTCGGCTGTAGAGGTAATATAACTCGCTTTTCCTCATGTTCACCGCGAGATCGACAACGTACTTGTAGTCGCTTACGTCTGATCAGCTTCAGCTCGCCCTAAGAACACGATGACGAATTATACTTTATGTGTGTAAGTACCTACACGCATACGTGTGTACACGCACGTACTCGAGTGTGCGTGCGTGCACATGTGCTTGCATGCGTGTTTGCTTACGTGCGTGTGTGCTTGCATGCGTGCGTGCGTGTGTGCTTGCCTTTATGCGTGCTTGCGTGCGTACGTGCGTGCGTGCGTGCGTGCGCGTGTGTGTACACATCGTGATTTCTGTTAGGATTCTTCTAATGAGCGTTTGGTGTGCTTAATGCGGTTTATTTTCGCAAACATACATCTCGCGTTATTCCTCTCGCTAGAACAAAACACGTCCAACATAAACTCGGAACAGGCAGGCATGCTGGCGATCTATTATTAAACCTGTAGGCAGGGATGCGCAGCTCAGCCAGGCTGGCAGCGCGGGATGCGGGCACTCAC